ATTCCTGAGATCCCAGAGACGAAAAGCCAAAGAGCAGAAAGCTCCCAAATGCCCATGCCTTTTCAGACACAGACAGTGAATTAAGGAATACACCCTTTCCCCACCCCATCCCTGTTTTGCATATAACTTTCACCTCTAATGACGTGTAGCAGAGTACTAAACAAAAACTGAAGCAGGACCTTTGGATTTGGGGCTTAGAAACAAGAATAAAATCAGACAAAGGTGTAGCAGAGGGGGAAGGAGGAGGTTCTGCCTGTCCCCTTCTCACCCTCAGCTTGATATGAAAGGCTTTCTCTGTCACGTGGTGAAGGGGGAAACCTTCTGCTGCACAGAGTCCCCATTCAGGATCACAGCCACATCCTCTTCTCATTAAAAGAATCCGTGATCGCCCATGTGCAAAGATCAATTTCTGCCATAGAAGTTCCAGAGACAAGGGGGTGACTGGCTTACTCTCTTCCCCACCAAGAGATTAAGTGAACTAATGGAAGCAAATCCAGCTTCTCTTTCTAGGAGACAGAATATTTGCTCCTGTTTAACTCTTCCCATTCTGCCACGGGTTTTGCAACCAAGTGATTCCTTCCAGCACCCTCAGCCTGTGCTTACTCTGCAAGGGAAACTCCGTTTAAATCAGCGCCACGCGGTCGGGAGCATGGGAACACACAGCTTCTTCTCCGCTGCATTCAGCAGCAGCCAAGTACTTCAAGCAGGCATAATTTGTCTCTTTTCCAGTATTAACAAGCATGTCCCCATCCTACATTTGGCTGCCTTTCCCCACAGTTCCTCCCCTTGCATCTGATTACAGCAACCCAACCAGTTGGACCGGATTCCCCTTTTCAGGGTGCTGCACCTTCTCTGTCCACAGCTAAGAACATTTTTTTCCTTTTCAGCGCCTTTCGCCGAGCCCTGGCGAACAATGTCTCCCCGGGGGACTGCATGACATAAGGCTACGCTGGCAAGCGGAGGGCTCAGCCCCTGCTTCTGCGATCAGTTTACAATTAATCCATGAGTGCACACACACAAGTAACATGGCCTGACATAAAGAGGAGAGCTCAGGACCCCAGCGCCAATGTACAGAGGCCCCTCTCCGCTGCAGGAGACAGCTTGTTGTACCGACTGTCATTCAGCCTGTACCCCTGTTATTCAGGGGACCTAATAAATGTTTATAAATATCTGCAGGGTGGGGGTCAGGAGGATGGGGCCAGACTCTTTCCAGTGGTGTCCAGTGACAGGACAAGGGGCAACGGGCACACCTGGGAAGTTCCAGCTGAACCCGAGGAAGAACTTCTTCCCTCTGAGGGTGCCGGAGCCCTGGCCCAGGTTGCCCAGGGAGGTTGTGGAGTCTCCTTCTCTGGAGATATTCAAGACCCACCTGGACGCGGTCCTGTGCAGCCTGCTCTGGGTGACCCTGCTTGGGCAGGGGGTTGGGCTGGGTGACCCACAGAGGTCCTTTCCAACCCCGAACATTCTGTGATTCTGTGATTCTGTGACTTGAACTAGCTGCTGAAATGGGGCATAATCCTCCTCTCCAAACCAGCGTGTTGACAGGAGTTCACCGGGTTACAATCACACGCAGGCATCCCTCTGCTCTGCAAACATAGGAATGAATTCTCTAGTCAACGAGGCTCTTTTGCAGAATGGCTTGCAAGCAGATGGAGATGATTCACCTAGGGAGATGCAGTTTCCCCCCCCCCGCCATCTTCTCCCAGTCCTGATGAAGGGATTTATTGGAGGCCTGGGACCTGGGTGAGAAGAGAAGGGATGAAGCAGACAGGCACCTGATAGCCATAAGACACACTAAGCCACCCACCCAAATCCTAAACATCTCCACTGCGAAGCAGCTCCATGTCAGCGATTAGCCCCTAGCCCCTGGGAGCTGTTCGGCTTTCACCATGGTAGTTAAAACAGCTAAACCTGGAATTTTGCAAGAGGAGACTCTGGGGAACACTGCTGAGGGAGGCAAGCCAGCAGCCTGCTGACAAGAAGCACCCCCGAGCAGGACCCATCGCTTCTACATCTTGGCATCTAGCGTGGGGTCAGCTCCTGGGTGTCTACAGGTGGGGGGTCTGCACTGCCTAGGGATGGGGTTCAGCTGCCCGAACACCAGTGTTGGGGGGTGTCCCACAAAGCCTCGAGCTGCCACTCCAAGGGTGACAGTCGTCTGCAAGTCCTGCATCATATCTGTCATGATATGAGAGACCAAGAGGTAGATGAGATCAAGAGCTAGATGATGTAGATGTCCACGCTATCATACTCTCACCCTTCAAAACAAGGTGGTTGGATCCAAACTGCATATTTGCCGTGGTTCCTGGCCCAAGCTAATGTCCAAATTGTGTCTAAACAATGTCTGGAAGAGTGCTGCTGGCCCAGGCCAAACTCGTGCCAGGGAGCGTGCTAACAATTTCATCGTGTGGATGAGCAAGTTCCAGTACCTGGGAACACTTGGATGCACTGTGTAAATTGCTAGCAGAAGGATGGAGCCCACAGGGTGAGCTGAATCACTGCCTGGGCTCCCCTGACTTGTCTACATCTCATTTGGCTAGGATGGAAACTGAGACGCTCAGATCACCTGGAGACACTGAAGCTTGGATGTCCTAATCTACAAGTTCAACCCCAGCTTCATTGTCAACTTATTAACCTGGGTGTCAGCAGGAGAGCACTGAGCATTAAGGTAGAGAAAAAGGCTTTTAAGTTTTTTAAATTAATGAGAGGAATTTTTGCCTTGCAGAGCACAGCAGCAAGGGAGGCTGAGAGGCAGCGCGTCAAGGCATCTGCCCTGGGCGCAATACGGAATAAAAGCAACTAAAATAAACCAGACAAATTAACAGAGAGATGTTAACCCTTTCACAGGTTTCAACTGAAAGACAGCAGCACAATTTCTGTTTTACGTGTATCTGGATAGTATTTGGGTAAAAGAGCTGGTGTGAAGGAAATTCACAGAATCACAGAATCCAGCATGGTCGGGAAGAGACCTCTGTGGGTCACCCAGCCCAACCCCCTGCCCAATCAGGGTCACCCAGAGCAGGGGGCACAGCACCGCGGCCAGGTGGGTCTTGAATATCTCCAGAGAAGGAGCCTCCACAACCTCCGTGGGCAGCCTGTGCCAGGGCTCCGTCACCCTCAGAGAGAAGAAGTTCTTCCTCAGGTTCAGCTGGAACTTCCCAGGCTTCAGTTTGTGCCCATTGCCCCTTGTCCTGTCGCTGGGCACCACTGCAAAGAGTCTGGCCCCGTCCTCCTGACACCCACCCTGCAGATATTTAGAGGCATTTCGAAGGTCCCCTCGCAGCCTTCTCTTCTCCAGGCTGAACAAGCCCAGCTCCCTCAGCCTCTCCTCGCAGGAGAGATGCTCCAGTCCCCTCCTCATCCTCATAGCCCTGTGCTGGACTCTCTCCAGCAGCTCCTCATCTTTCTTGAACTGGGGAGCCCAGCACTGGACCCAGCACTGCAGATGGGGCCTCACCAGGGCAGAGCAGAGAGGGAGGAGAACCTCCCTCGACCTGCTGGCCACACTCTGCTTAATGCACCCCAGGAGACCACTGGCCTTCTTGGCAACCAGGGCACGCTGCTGGCTCAAATTCATGGCGCGGCGATAATACTTTGTGAAGCGCAATGTGAGACAGCCAAAAAATTGTAGCGGGACCCATCGCGCATCTTGGATGCTGCAGGTGACAGCACAGCCAGATCCTCACATTTTGGGGCTGTCCAGCAGCACAGAAACAGAGACATGAAATCCTCTCAGGCCAGCGAGTTCATTGTTTCTCAACCTGTTTTATGGACCACGACAGCCTGGGAGACTGATATCAAAGCTGTACTCTTTACATCTTTTCTCCATCTTCCCTGAAGTAAGAGATTGTTTTCATATTTTCTGAGCCTGAGACTGTTCTCACATATGACTTGTTCACAGAAGTTTCTCCAGTTGGTCCTCAGCTTTCTCAAAATGTGGCGACCAGAACTGAGGATGGCTCTGCCTTTCAGGCAGCTCTTTGGGATATTTCCCTTTATTACCATTTAAGAGACGGTCAGCTTATATTCAGTTTGTGATCCTCCATAATTCCCACTAATTTTTTATGCAGAACGGCTGCATACTTGGGTTTTCTCATATCTGCAGTTTTGTAAATGTCATTCTTAAATGCAGAACTTTTCATTCATCCTTATCAACCTGCAGATCATTTCATTCTGATTTCTGATCTCCAGAGTTCATGAAATCCCTCCAAGCCTGGTATCATCTGCAGATCATAGTATCACAGAATCATAGAATGGTTTGGGTTGGAAGGGACCTTAAAGCTCATCTGGCTCCACCCTCCCTGCCATCAGCAGGGACATCTTCCACCAGACCAGG